GCGAGCGACGGTATGTGTTCGCTAACTTCCCGATCTATTGAGCCGACATGTGACAGTTTCATTGTCATACGTCAGCTCGAACTATGAGGGTGAGTGATTTTCTCCTTTAAAGGAGAATTATGGGGAGTTTGAAATACACTTATTCCCATAATTAGAGCAAAGATATGACACTGAAGCTGTCACACGTCGGCTTTATTGATTGAGAATTGACCGATTGCTTACCGCTGCAAAGAGCGCTGACTGGAGGAGCGGACGGGGATGGGCGTGGGCACAGCTGTCTCGGCCTCTAGAGAGACAGAGCCAGCTGCAAATCAGGCAGCAGGGTGGATCCCGACAATATTGTCCGAATCCTTCCCGGCTGCAGTTCGGCTCTGCGCTGTCCGCACATAGAAGGCAATAGCCCGCTGTATGATGAGTTTTGGGCCACAGGAAGACATTGGTATGTCAAACCTTGTCCGAATAGGTAAAAGACTTCAGGGAGTATCCCGTCCTAGCCTGGATAGGCTCTTGTTTCACCAAGCGGTTGAAACAAATGTCTGGAGCCTTACACTTTAGCTGTGATGGCCTTATTGCAAACCTCAACCAAAGTGGGGGAGTAGGGGCTGTTTGACCATTACAATGGATCCCTGGGCAGTTTGCCTTCTAGACATTTGGATACTCTATTTACCCCCCATAGTTCCTTGCTTGAACCCTTAAGTCAAGTCTCCCACACCCTAACTTCCCTTCTTCTTTGTTTAAAGAGGGTAATAAGCTGCATGGACACTCCTTAATCATTTTGTCTTTGGGCAAATTTGAGTGTTATCTTACTGGGAAATGGGTTGGCCAGTCAGGCGACAACATTGTTGGGATCCAACACAGCTTACTAAGTGAAAGCAGACTCTGCCCCACTGGACCCAGAGTCAGCCGTGCATGCCCCCTCTCCTGTTTGTCCCTCCAGTAAGCGCTGGAGAAACATTGAGAGGAGGGGGGAATCCCTACAGGGATCAGTGACTCGTAGTACTGATGTAACCATTGATCGTGTTCCTCTAGCGCTCATTGCAGGGAGAATACACGAAGAGCTAAATGATCAATGGTTACATGATTGTTCAGCTCTTGGTCTTAGAGCCAGCTTGTTACAGCTGCAGTGTCCTACCCTGGCTTTAAGCAGTGGGGAGAGTATATTTTACTCTCTCCATGCTTCTTTAAGAAGAAATCAGCAAGACAACAATCTCCAAAACAAAGAAACACATAGATGCATGGTAATTAAGGTAAGAAGTTAGACAGATAGGGAATAAAAAACAGGGCTGTGAAATGAGAAGGGAGGAGGGAGAATCACAGAGGTGAGAATACGTCCTAAAACAATTTGATAGCGATTTGGAAAACGAGGTCCACATTCAGTCTCTCTTGTGTTGACAAATTTGTTACATTTGTCCTTTTCCTATTTTCTTTAAAACCCCCTTAAGAACCAAAACATACATGTCCTCCATAGAATGTTCTGGTTATGAGAAATCATATCCCACAGCAATTATGTTCTAAAAAATAAAGTATAACAAAGCGTATTCAGCTGTGGTGTTGCAATACTGCACTCACAGTGCAATAGTGCTACAGTCACCTTAAACATGTACTGTAAAATCTCTTTCTTGGAGTCCATTGAGGGACACGGGTCCACCCCCTCTGTTTTTTTCTTGACTCTTATACTGATTGCTCACAAAACTGAGACATGCTGGGCCGAGGAGGGGTTATCCTGGAGGATGGCTTACACTTTTTTCAGCTTGTTAACCCAATGGTTTAAGAATTCCTGTGTCCCTCAATGGACTCAAAGAAAAATATATGACGGTAAGTACAAAAATAATTAACTTCTTATGCAATACTAAACTACAAGTAAAATCAATAGCCAACTATTTATTTTTGTTTTGTACCTTTTTATGTAGGGTAGATTAGCTATCACCGTAATTGTTTTACCTCTGTCCATGGAAGCTGGGTATGGACCCTACCACCTGGTTACTGGCAACTTTTCCATTGTGCTAACATACTTCACTCTTGGTCATGTACAGAAGGTGATTCTGAGAAGATGATCGAGTGACTGGCTTGGGGGAACATGTATTTGAAGAGTCTGACAGCTAACTCTTGGCATAAAACAGTAGTTATAGACGCATGTAAATTGTCATCACATGCAAATGTGTAAAATATTTTCATGTTCTATGTATGTGGGGATTGCCATATTTGCATATAAATTCTGCATATCACCACAGCTTAATGATTCAACTTTGATCCTCCAATATCTTCTATCAGTTAACAGCCCAAATCCTAATGGTTGATTAAAGCTGGCATCACAGCTATGCGTTGTGGTGATGTGCATTGTAACACACTTGTAATGGAGAACGTAAAGCTGGAAAGGAAAAATTTTAAACGAAATCTTAAATACTTCTTAACTCTCCTCCTCAATATGCTAGTTCCTAGCTGTCATACTGATCCATTGACTTTAGTTTGGGTCACTTACCGGGAACAAGCATGCTAATCAGGAAAGTCATGCATGTCACCGATTTTAAAATTTATTGAACCATTTAAGATTAGAATAACTACAGGCATCAAGCACTTTCAGAACAGAGATCTGCATTGACAGCCTCTGTTTTATTTTCCGCACATGTATCCTTTAATTGGCTTGGGCTGTACTTAATGAGGAACTGAACTCTGAAAGCTGTGCCCAAAAAAAACAGTGGGCAAAGGGTTAGTTTCTAGCATTGCCTGTGGTCCCCCTGCAGCTGATATTCTCCTCATTACTGACTTACCATGCTTTCTTCTACACTGTGCCTCTGTGTAGACATCTTGGTAAAGACAGGGCTTTGCCTTCTCATGTCAGCCTTCCGCAAGGAGAACAGTGAGTAGCGCAGTAGATACATCACCAGATCTCACTCCACATCGGGGGAGACTAGCAGTCAGAGACATCAGTGCCCTAAATCTCACACTACAAATATGCAAATATAAGGCTTTAGGTATAGTACCACTACATGTCAGAAACTGCACTGTTATTTTTCTGGAAGAGTTCCACACAAAAGGTAAAATTTGCAGGTTATTGGTTAGGCACAAATAACATTTATAAATGTTCCCTATTACAAAGAAAAATTTCACTTATTGAGTTTAAAGTAGAATTAAAGTCCTTCTTCTTTTTTTTTTTTTTGTATGGCATATATATATTGCTAGTAAGCAGTAGATACTGCATATGCCCCAACATAAAAAAAAAAAAAGTTGGCACATACCAACAAACTTTATGCCAGCATCGCTCTCTCCTGGCTGCATAAGTCCCGGCAACCAAACACTGTGAAGGAGGACGTGTGGGCGGGCGCATGCGCAGTATAGATCATCGGAGGGGAGAGGAGGAGAGCGGCACAGAAGCTGAATAGACGCAGCCGGGAGTGTGCAGGTCGGGCAGACACCGTGGGGCATGAGGCATCTGCGCTGGGTCAGAGACCGGCACCAGCGCTGGAGGGTCTGTGGAAAACGAGTGGAAGGAAGAAGCTGTTCGGATCAAGAGGCATCACATAAGGTAAGTCCTAAAAGCAGTATAAGTGGGGGGATTTTAACTTAAATGTCACTTTAAGTGCACTATAACTTTTAACCAGTTGACATCCGGGGTGTTAAACCCCCTTCCCATCCAGGCCATTTTTCAGTATTCAGCGCTGCGTTACTTTGACTGACATTTATTCCATCATGCAGCGCTGTACTGAAATGTATTTTATACCATTTTTTGGGGACAGATAGAGCTTTATTTTGGTGGTATTTAATCACCACTGGGGTTTTTATTTTTTAATATATTAAAGAAAAACTACAGATTTAAAAAAAATAAAACAGTTCCCCCTATATTAAATTTATTTTTCCACTTTACTTTTATGTGTTTTATGTGACACACTTTATTTAATGTTTCCTGTTATATGAAGGTTATCTTTTTATAGTTTTTATTCACGATTTTAGGACTAAATGAAATCAAGGCAAGTGACACAGAATGGTTCATTTATATCACAATTAATTATACAGCATTTTCTTACTGGTACAGTAAAACTACACATCAGAACCATCTTATAACTGCACGTTGATGTTACAGCCAACTGTAATTCAATCATGTAGCACAATAGGCTTCATCTTGGGATGTTTCTTAAAAATCTTCTCAGAACTATGGGGAAGTTTAATACTTGAGGCGGGGGGGTTATAAACATGGTTTAGGATAGGAAGTAATTTTAACTATTATACACGAGAAGAAAGAAAGGAAAGATACGTGAAAGGTTTTCAACTCAGGGAAAATAGTAGAGGGCAGGGCACATGCGAAAGGGTGCGTCTGAGGTAGGTGTTACGGACAAGATAGGGACTGTAGGTTTGTATGTGTATGCAAGTTGGAACAGGTACATTTTTTAAGTGTAACTCCAGCCAAATGTTTTGTGTTTTGTTTTGGATAGCATAGGAAAGGGTTAACCCCCTGTAAAGTTTGTTTTGCTGTGTGTGCCCCTGTTCAGAAGATTTCACCTCACTTTCTGTCCTTGTGACAATTGGATTTTGAAAATTTTGGGTTGTCATGGAAACAAGGATTGGTGATAAAGCTTCAGTGGGGACACATTTTTCCCATGATCACTTTTACAGGAGTGAATTTCCCCTCCTAGGGGTAGATTTCCTTTCACTTCCTGTTGCCTCAAGGACAGGAAGTGAGATTAAATCTTTCTAATGATAATACAGTCAGCAGTAAAAACCTCACAGTGGCTCGGAAGAAGAGGTAGGCACCCCTCGTCTGCACGTCTAACAAGAGCCAACTTCCTGTAATGTACGTACAGTACTACAACCCAGACCCAAAAAGGCGGCCACTCCTCATCAGCATGAGTGTGGTAGCATTACATCTTCCCCTGCTGCACAGTAATAGCCTCCATTTGTAAGTAGGAGTCGTATGTAAGTCAGATGTATGTCACTCGGGGACTGCCTGTACACTATATTTTTCCAAAACAGGCTAATGTCAGTATTATAATAATTTGTTTTTTCAGGTTATAAAGCATTGAAGGAGTTAATGAGATCTTTAGTCCAGTTGCAAGATGAGTTACTCTTCCAGTTTCCAGAAACACGTTACCTAATAGATGGAAAGAAGTGCAATGCAGACAGGTAAAGAACTTTTACACCAGTATATCACCTCTCTGTAATGCAGTGTGCAGGCCTTCAGCGGGGACTTGCTCATTCGCGAACAAAAAAGCTGGTTTGACCTGGCCGCTGAAGACTCATTTATGAGTAAGCCATGTGAGCTGAGCATCAGGAGCTACTTTGTTTTATTAGAAGTTTTGCATGCCATTATCATCTCTATTTTCTGTTGGTTTTCCAGTGTAACACTGGGGGAATGAGTGTTGAGTCAATAGGTCATCATGTATGCAAACGCCTTGCTCTTGTTTCTGTCATTCAGTGTGGGGTAGCACCTTCCTGCCATGGCTCCTTATCACAAGAGACACATGGTTTCCCTTCCTTTAGTCCTTGCTGCTGTCTACTGTGACTTGGTCACCTTTAGCCATTTGAACCTCTTCTGCTTCTAGCAGATGGTTTGTGAGTACCCAAGGTTTTACCTTGTTTTCAGCTAAGTTGTCCCTGCCTGAGGTTCAACATTTTGGATCTCAAACACACTCCCATTGTATATTGGGTCCCTCTGGCTCATGATCCACTAACAATTCTGGGGCAGCCTGCAGTGTTCTTTTTCAAGGGCATGACACAGACAGCCTGACTCTCTCTTTATCACTCCTGATCGTCCCTGCAAAGGGAAACAAGCTTCATTTTCCACCATTTAAGTAGATCACCATTTAAGATTATGGTGTTAAGGATCAGGTGCTACCCTTTTCTGTCAAGGCAAACTAATAGGTCTGTGAGTGCTTCTTGGGCTTTTCGGCATCAAGCATTTGTTTGCCAGATTTGCAAGGTTGCCACTTGGTCTTAAATTGGGCTGCATTTAGATGGCCCAATTGTCTATGAATTCTGTGCCCCTCAAAAGGATTTTACTCGATTACAAAAATCCAATTATCTTTGTGTAAACTACTAATCCTATAATTTCCTGTGTAGTGGAGATGAATAAAGGCAGATATGTGTGAAGTCCATAGGGACAAATATGACTGCCTTCATGGATGAAGGATTCTAGGAACAAGAAGGGTGCTATTTGCAGGATAAACTAAGTGTTAAAAAAGGGATAGAAAGCCTGGAAAAAAAAGTAAACTAATCCAGCCTCTTCATCTAAAGGTGCCCATACACCTGCCGATTATCATACGATAATCGCAGGTGTATGGAAGGCATGCAACCGTTTCTACTGTACAGTCGCACGTCTTTTGTCTTACAAGCAGGCTCGAAAACCCGCCGAAAATCGTACAATTGTTGGCGGGTTTGTGGCCTGCTCGTAAGACAAATGCAGCACGGGCCGGTGTGCGCAAGCGCACACTGCCCGTTCAGCATTGCAGTCATCAGAAGCCCGCCCCTCAGCTTGTGATGATCGCAAGTACGATCTGCCTGTCCAAGATGGGCAGATTGTATGTTTTTTTTTTATTACCTTACAACTTACCTTACATTCTAGGAACAAGAAGGGTGCTCTTTGCAGGATAAACTAGGTGTTAAAAAAGGGATAGAAAGCCTGGAAAAAAAGTAAACTAGTCCAGCCTCTTCATCTAAAGGTGCCCATACACCTGCCGATAATCGGCAGGTGTATGGAAGGTGTGCAACCGTTTCTACTGTACAGTCGCACGTCTTTTGTCTTGCGATGGTTGTAAGATGGATGGGCACCTTTAGGCCTCGTTCACATGGGCTAAATAGGTCTGGGGGATTCTTGTGGCTGAAATCACAGCTGTTTCTGGACAGCTGTGACTGCTTAGCCTGTACAAAGCAATGATGGGCTGACAGGAGCTGCAGCTGTCCACTGCTATTTGCATGTGCCCTCCACATCCAGCAGTTACTTGGTAGGGACAGATGGGACGTAATCTCCCTGCATCCAAGGATGGCCATCTGTCTCTAGCCGTAGGTAATCACTGGATCTGCGGATACATGCAAATAGATAGATAGTCGTGAATATCGGCAGACAGATTCCGCTCCTGTTAGCCTGTCATTTCGGCAAGAATCTGCTGTCGGACCTAATTAGCCTGTGTGAGTGAGGCCGAAGATCTGGTAAGCTGCAATATATTACACTTTTGTTTTTGGATTTAGTGTTGTTTTTATATATTTTTCATTAGTTATTGTCAGTGCTAAAAGAAATATTGTATAATCCTGTATAATAATAATAACTGTTGTATTTTGTTTTCATTTTAAGCAGGTAAATATGAATATATCACCTGCACCAAGGAGGTGGCAAGCTCCAACCTAACCCCAGCTTTCATCTTTCCCCCCCCCCTCCCCCCCCCGAAGTACAATGACTATAGATATGCCAGTCTCCCAATCGGGCAACACATTGATATCGACTAACTATCCACAGCCCCTGCTTTTAGTTGGTTGGGTAGGTTTAAAAAACAAGTCCGATTTAATTTTGTTTTCCCCCTGATAAGCTAGCGCCAGAAAGGTGTGCAGCACACATCCTTGCCTTTTATACATTGACTAAACATATGCGGCTAGATCTTCTGTTGAACCGACCGCATTCTAGTGTTTATGGTCAGCTACAGACATGAATTAATACGAAATTAGAATACACTGAGGAGTAAAATATTTTTAACTGTAAATGCTCTCTAAAATGTTTTGCTCTGCACACTTTGTATGCAGTGATGAAGAAATCCCCAGCGATGAGGAAGAAATGGAAAAAAGTGATTCTGAAACCCTAAAGAATAAAGGTGCTCCTAAGCGGAAGCTTAACATTAGTGAGTATCCTGAGTTTATGGCAAAACGATTTGCAGACTTTAGAGCCTACAGAAACACAACCTTACAGAAGTGGCATGACAAGACAAAACTTTCTGGTAAAATAAGCAAGGTGAGTGTCATTGTATTTTTACCCTTAAAGGGAACCTGAACTGTGGCAGTTTTTATTTTTTTCACTGCTTCCTTAAAAATATCTCAGTGCAATGTTCAAATGGTATTAGTTTCATGATTATGTTTTACAGGGATTGGGTGGCTCGGATCGGTCCATACTGGTGCAAATAGAGCAGATTATGATGGACAAGGGAAGATTACTGAGGCGCACACAGACCAAACGTTCACATTATAGGATATTGGGAAAAACTGAACCAGATTCCCATTTGCCAGAACATGTCCCTGATGAAGCTATGGTACTTAAATTACTATTATATTGCCTTGATTGAATTTATTTTTGCAAAAATGTTTGGTACTTTTTATAAACTTGTCTTGCTTTCTAAGAATACTGACATATTAATCAGAACACTCATAAAACATACCATCTCATCTTGACTTGACATGGCAGTTTTCTTCTGAAGAGGAGCTACAAGTAAACGTGGTTCCACATCTGTTGCAATATAATAGTGCTTCTCTCCATTCTGTGTTGTACCAGAATGGAGAGACTTTTTATTCGACAATGTCTGCATTATTTGCTAATACGTATATCAATTAAAATGTCACTTAACTACATTTTTTATTGCATGGATGTGCTGTATTTGTGATTGACTACTGCAGTATATTGTTTGTAGAAGTCAATTCACAAAGTGATTAAATGACAAATGTGTGCTAAACTAATGTTTTTATGTATTTGGTAATGATCATAGCTGTGTCCTAAGAAGATGTACAACATTATTGGCCCCTCTTGACTGAAAAACACCCATGCATTAGGTGGAATTAGGCAAGGTGCTTGTTTTTACATAATGGTGCTGAATTATGGAATATCTTCTAACAATGGGATCTAGGAATAACCTATGCTAACCTATGCTTGCCACATGCCATGGTGGTGCAGGGTTCTCTAGCAGCATCACTTTTGCAGTAGAAAGTTTTGCAGCTTAGCCTCAAGCAGCTGAGCTTGGCTTCATCCCAGCTTGATACATTCATAAAATGTTCATGTATACAATTGAGGGTGTCTCTTGGCTGCCATTGCAGTGAAGTGCAGAAACCCCACTGAGTAGAATGTGATACATGACCTAGAAGGTTTTTTAATATAGATATCTAGATATATATATCTAGATATCTATATATATATATATATATATATATCTCTAGATA